AATTCAATAAAAATAGCAATAGCTGTCGTGTGAGCAGAAGATTATAAGCAAGCAAAGTCATGAAAAATAAAGAACAGTTTTCACCAACTGACACTCTTTCACGGTTTAGAGTCGTTCAAAAGAATGAAATCGCTGGTGAACGACATCAGAACTCATCAGGTCAGCCCAGATATGATGCTGACGAGGCAGTGAGCAGCGCTGTTAGTACCCTGACTAACTGCATCTTAAAATCTGAAAGAAAATAATTATTTTTGTTGGACTGGAAGAAAACAAAGCTTATAATTCACGCTTTTAGAATCTAAATGACTCAAAACGACCTGTTCATGCTTTTGTCATGGTCACCTTCACAACTGCAGCTGGAAGTCGAGAGACATCAGGCTCAAATCGTGGCCCTGCTGCGGTTTTGGGGGGTAAATGCAGCTGCTGCTGGAGATGTTTCCTGTATGACATGGTGCTTGTAAATCTAGCAAATGCAGCAAGTACGGCTTTACGCCTGAATAAAACCACAAGTGGGCTCAGACTGGAGGACATCGCATGGAGACGCGCTTGCAGAAACAAAGGTGTTGGTTCAGTGTCTCACAAACAGGATGTTCGATCATCGGTTCACGTTCCGCAGAAGCACGTCATGGGGTGAGGTGACAAACAGCCATGAGGCCTTCAGAGCCACATGTCAGCACAACAAGCTATGATCATTAAAAGTCAACAAACTGGCTCATCCGCTCCACTGATACTGAAACATTTTTAGTTTTGTCTGACAGACGAATTTATTGTTTATTCTGTCAAATAAATTTTTATTTTGTTTTAGAATATAACTCCAATACATCCAACGACATAAAACCACCGCCTCATATTTCCCTGCATTTATACCCCATTATGACAAATTAAAAAAAAGGAAGTGAAGTACAACATCAGCTTCTTTAGCTGCAGCAGTTCATTTATTTTTTTTATGCTGTCATTCAAACTGCAATTTAAAGTAAAAGTTGGAAATTTTTTTAATGATTTAGGTGTGCTTTAGTTAGAACACATTAAATACTTCATTGCAT